TTACCCTTAATGGTGTCCTGTTGAGTTTTCTTGTAAACAAACCAAAGTTCTGTTTACATTTCTCACCAAAGCGCACTGTGTGAATCTTTGTGGTCTAACCGACATGCTGAATGTATTTCCTCCCTAAACAAAATTAAATTAGTATTTTAAATCCAGCATTGTTTATTTGCAGTCTTCTTCTTCTGCTCTGCCTTGGAATACTGAGAAACCTACGGCAGGAATGCAACGCGTCAACCATGTGCATCCTCATAACACAAGGGGGACGAGGAGCTCCATAGTTGAGATGGAACCAATCTGATCCAATATCAGTACGCCGATACTGACGTAATCCACTCAGCAGATATCAGACAGACATCGCCAATCCACGAACCAATCCAGATTCCAATCCATAGTGTTGTTATCGGTGCCTCCAGGTTTTTGCTGAAGTTTTTTGGGATTGTTGAGGCCTAAAATGCCTGATTTCACGGCAGCTTTTCTAAAACATTTAATTAATACCACTACAAAGAAATCCAGCAGACGCCATATTATTTTGTTTCCCACAATTATACTGTGAGTTAGATGCACAGGTGGAGCTTGTGGCGGACCATAAATATGCCATAACATAACATGAGACTGAGTGAGCTTGGAACAGTTGGCTAACTCAACACGTCCTTAGTCTGGAGACCATGGCACCCATAAATGACAACTTTTTGTGCCCGGTTAGCTCAGTCGGTAGAGCTGGTGACCCATATACGGAGTTGCTGCAGCGGCCTGGGTTCAAGTCTGACCTACGGCCCTTTGCTGTGTGTCATCCCCTCTCTCTCTCTACCCACCTTTCCTGTCGATCTTAGCTGTCTCTGTCCAATCTGCATAAAAAGGGCCAAAAATAAAATAAAGACAACTTTTGACAGAATAAAGCAACACAAAGCCAAATGGCTTGGTTCCATATGTGTGATGTTTAAAATGCAGATCTCCATCAAAGGCCTAAGGGCCTCATGGAAATGAATCCCAGAAGCAGCTAACCAAGATGAGACAGCTGTGTGTGAACAGTAAGATGAGTGATTGAGGTTGAGACGAGCAGCAGCCATGTGCCTTTCTTTTCTCTTTACTGGACCAGCTTTGGTCCAGGCCTGATCCTGGAGCACAACGAAGCACACATTTGAGCACATTGGCAATATATTGGTATTCCGACTACCTAAGCTTAAAACCGAGCTGCGGTCAAGACCACCTTTGTCAAGACCAGATCAATTCCAAAAGGAGCCAGGTTCAAAGGTTTGGAGAGACCCAAATGATTACGTAACATGCTGAATCAAACCAGCTCCAAAAGGCACAGTGTGTTCTTTTTCACTATAAAACTACTACTCTGCACCACTGGCTAATGACTAACTTATATGATATATTATATTTAGTAGTATTTTATTGGAAATTATTATTATTATTATTTTTTACTTAACTCATTTATTTTTCTCATTCTTGTTACTTCCACTTCATTCTAGGTTTTTGCAGGATTAAAACCTATTAAGGGATAAGAGGCATACAAAATAGCCAAATAAATGCTCTCAATATTAAATTATGTCTCGTTCAAGAGTTATGTTATTAGACTGTAGTTATATTTAGCACACAAAGCCGTGTCAAGTGCCCTTATATTACTTGTGAAAACAGAAAAAGAAGCAAAACCCTTGGCAGAAGTTAAGTCTTGAGTGCAACTGTCGTCCCCCTCCTCCCCACATTCCCTTCGTCCAGTTGTCTCAGCCCCACTTGGGGAAGACATCACTCATCAAGACAGAGCACCAATGAACTCTGGACACTCGGGGGGGTGTGTGTGTGTGTGTGTGTGTGTGTGTGTGTGTGTGTGTACATCATATCCAAGGCAGACTGAGCAGTGTATGTGACAGGGAAAAGAAAAAGATTCTGACCAAATTGAAATTAAACCAAATTGAAATTAAACATATAATCTCCTCCTCTCCCCATGTACTTCCACGACTCATTTTTGCTTGTTCTGGCGGGGGTTTTCTTCCATTTTTTTTCCTTCTTCTTCTATGGTACGTATGCCCAACTTCCTGTAATTGGTCCGAAAGTCCGAACCATCCAAAAAGTGTTTTCATACCGTAAACGACCCGAACCATGGTTCAATTTGATTCGGACCGAGACCACCTCTTTAGTTCGGACCAAATTTTGGTCTTTTGATCCGGACCGTGGTCCGTGGCACCTTTCTCACCTACAATTTTGGTTCGGACCAAACTGAAAAGTCCGAAGGTCCGGACCAAAAGAGGTATGTGTGAAGTAAGGCTGTAAAGAATGTCATATTTTGACACATCTGTGTGTGTAACTGAGCCCCGCCCTCGGTCAGACAGACACACAGACCTGCAGATCTTTATACAGACAGAGAGCAAGCAGAGGAGAGATACGGGGACACTGTGGTAACCTGGTCACTATGTTTTTATGGTTCTTCGAATGTTGATTTAAAATTCAAATATCAACGTTATTAACGAAGCTTCCAGCTTTGGTACAGACCTTATAATAGTGGGAGCATCCACATCCATCAGTGATGTATGCCTTTAAAGGCAGACAAGCAGGACGGTAGAACAATACGAACAAAATGCAGATGTTCATACAATCGCTGTGGAAAAAGTAAAATCTGAAGGGTGTAAGGGCCCTTTAACATTGAACTCATCATGTTATGGCAGCTTTTCAGTCTACACACAACCTATCCTTAAACTTTTTAGGTTCTATACAGACCAAAAAAAGGGTTTCCATTACAGTTCTACTCTGTCTATACACTCATCTGCCGAACAGTGGCACCAACAACAGCTGTTTACAATCACAGCAGAACATCAGCTCATCATTCACCTCTCCCTCTCTCCTACACACACACACACACACACACACAAGGAAGAGGGTGTAACCTTTGCCTTGACCCTGACCCCCCAATCTCCTCCCTGCACTAACCCCTTCATGACTCTGACAAGCTTTTCATGAACATGAATACAGAGAAACATGGAAACCCTTCCATCATTTATATTCACAGCCCAGGTGTGAGACAAGTAAAGATAATAACCTTTTAACATCCTATACACCAACACCACAAATTAACATACAATGTAAAACCTAATGAGTTAGTTCAACTCAAACTGTTTGAAGAAAACCAATTGCCTTAAACCGTTTGAGTTTATTAACTAAAACTATTTTGATAATTGATTTGAGTAAAATATTTATTGTTATGGTAACTTGGGTAAATGAAGTTATTGGTACCAATCCCATTCAGTTAATTAAAGTTAAAACTAGTATGTTACACTCCTCAGCAGTATTTCTCCAAACTTATTTAAAATGTGTAAACAGAATTTATCTGAATGAAGTATATATAAGTTTATATGTTTTTTGACCCTACTCTTACTACTACTTAACCCCTTACCCCTACTAAAGCAAATTATTACATTACCTGTCAAAACAGCTGACCTATGATAAAAATTATTTGTAACTGATTATCAAAATGGTAGCCAACAAACTTTCTGTGTTTTCTTATGTGACTAACATTAAGTGTTTACACTTTGAGGGATCATTAAGAATTATTGGATGCATACCTAATCTATACAGCAATATAGCACTGACCTTATGTTTCTGTAATGATATAAAGTCAACTTCAAGAAAATGAGTCAATGGAACAAACTGGAATTATATCACCAATACTTAAGATACTGCACAAATTTAAGTTCACTCAAACTAACCTTATTTAGAGGATTCATTTATGTTAACTTTCTTCTTTTATTAAGATGTGTTGTCAGGTTTTACAATGTAGTATCATTTGTGAATTACTTTTGTAGAAATGTGTCTTTAGTTTCAGCATATGTCATAGAGACATTCATAATACACAAGTACCCTATACACAATATCACGTTAACCTACTGTGCAAAGAAGTTAAGCAAAGTCAGGCTCCTGGCCAGTCTATATCTAGTCTACCAGATCCTACTTTCATTTATTAACTTGACAGCACCTGGCTGGGACAAAGGATTTCTTGGAGGCATTTCTATTAGCAGTCAGTAGTCTATAAACAGCTCCCTGAAGGTGAGGCTCAAATACACTGTACAGTGGCTGAGAAGGATCATTAATTCGGTCAGCTTTACTTCTCAAGAGCTTTGTAGCTTCTTGAGATTGTGGAGGCCATGTGCACAATCGTCTGCAGTTTATTCCTCCTCTCGATGTTCAGATTAGCATACCACAAGATGTGAAGAAAATATATGATGCTTTCCGCCAGGCTCTTACACACAGTTTCCAGAATTTTATTATCATCAAGTGGAGAAATCTCACAGTTTACACCCAACACATCTCTCTCGTGTCTCCCCATGTATCCAGACAGTCACTGAAAGTATGCCGCAACTGTGAACTTTCACACAGCACCACGGTTTCTGAGAGAAACCAGTACAACCACATTCAACTATTGCCCCCTCTTATAGCACTGTGGCATTACCTGCCCGCCAAAAATAATTCCACCACGTATATCCTCACAGTCGTGTCCTTTAACCACAGTTACCTCCCTCCCTCTCGAGCCGCATTCTGTAATACAGGAAACGACATATCGTATTACTTGCTAGCTGACGTTAGCTAAGTCAACTAACTAATGTATAGTTGGATAAAACTGTAATTAGTTACAGTTACTCACTCTGCCGTTAAAGGCCATTAAATAATGCAGCAGCAATGACTTTACACAGAAGTGGACAGCATGTGAGTGTGGAAGGCTAAAGTCACCGGTTCATTTCCCCGCCACTGACCGTTCAACGTAACGTGTCCGTGAGCAACACCGTTAACGTTAACGTTACGTTTAATTGAGTCTTACTGGCGGGAGTTAGCTTACACACATAAATGACATTTCTTGTGTGAATGCAGCTGAATAACAGACGGTAAACCATTACAGGCTGATATTTAAACATATTTACGAGAACGTACAGTTATGCGTCACCTGAAGTTGAGGACGGCACCGTCCCCCCCCTTAGCCCCCCTTACCCCCCTCCCCCGGTCTCACTCACATGTCTTGAAGCGGAGGTCTTCATCGGTCTCGGAGCCGAACTCTCGGATGAGAGAGAGGAAGAGTATACCGAAGGCGTTCTGGATACCGAACACCGAGCCGTTACACCACATCGCAGCCAGCATAACCACCCATCCCCAGCCGCCCTCGGGGTGCACAAACTCGACCTCCTCTGCCCCCGGAGCAGCGGTTTGTTCCGGGACGGTCACTTTGCTGTCCCCGTTCTCCTTCTTCTCCTCCCCATCCTCCTCCTCCTGCGGCCGCTTCTCCTCTGCGGGCACGGCGGCGGGCACCTCAACCTTACCCGCTGTGTCACCTTCTGGCATGTTGTTTCCTTCTGTCATTGTCTTTTTAAATGTCAGGTTAATATTAAAGAGCAGAGGCAGCGGTTGGAGGTATGTAGCCTACAGTGAAGGCTGAAATGAAAATTGAAATGCAGGTTATGTCTGAGTAATGGATGAAGTTGCGTCCATTGAGGTGAAGCTGTAGTTAGAGCTGTGTTGGTGCTGCTGCATCTGTTCCTACAGTAACTGTCAAATAGCTGCTGTTGCATTATTATAAATAGACAACGCGGAGGGGCGGGGCTACGGGGAGCCCTGCAGCTGATTGGACACTGTCAACTACCGTGACGACCAAGTATTGAAATAGTCTTTTAGATATCGCTTTAGTTTATGCGTTTACACGACTAGTAATAAAAAAAAAAGGAGCGTATATACACAGACTAATGCTTACCCCTTTAACAGCCCCCCCACTGCCGTTAAGAAAGGTCTCACTTCCCCCTTTTCTAGCTGCTAAAAATAGACAAACTGCCAGGCAAGCAGATGGACATGTGCAGTGAGCAGAACATTTCACATAATAAGTGACTGAAGTGTGGTTGGAGATCATAAGAATAAAACCCACAAATTTTACATAAGCACTTTCATATGTCATGAGACACACTGACAAATCATTTTTAGATCATTTTGTAAAATGATGTTGATGTAAAATGTACAAAATATGTAATTTGACTACAAAAGAGTTTCTAATTGTTGCAGTTATTAAATCAATGTATGAGCACCACTCCTTTTTAATACTTTGGTAAATTAGGAGACAGAACAGAGTGCAGAGGGGTTTCTGTCGTGAATGAAGACCACCCTGACTCAAGGATTCAACTCATAATTCAAAAATATTACATTATGATTATTGTATAATCCTGTAGCTAATGTTGCAAGTTTCTGATGGTAAGCAATAAACTAGTAGGATCATTTCTGGTTAGCTGTCAAACAGCAAACTCTTGTGGTGACGGAGAATTCTGCGTTTTCTTCGTAAAGATTTAACGTATTAGCTTTAATGACGACACATTTTGTTATCACATCATTGTTATCGGTTGAAGAAACAAAGCTGGATTTCATTTAATATTTCCCTTTAGTGTGATGTTAACAGCTTTAATTTAAATATTTTAAATTATAAATAAAATAATACAATAAAAAAAAGTATTTAAAGCCTCTAAATGGTGAGCATGGCCTCTTTCTACTGATCACAAATCCCAAAAATTCTTTTAAAAGATTGAGTCCACATAAATAAAATTCAAAAATAATTGTAAAAATAGCAGTTATCTGCAATCTGATTGACTTCCTGTGCAGCCAAAGATACGATTCTCATTTTTAATGCTAGAAACATGGCACATTATTACTAAAGGAAAAAAGCGAGTTATTTTAGTTATTAATTAGCAAAAAAGACTGGTTTGACACTGGGAATGTGTGTGATTGGCCCTGCGACCATTAACAAAGCAGGTGAGAGTGTCAACACTGTTTAGTAAGAACAGAATGTGGGGAAATAAATACTGCGATCATAATCAAAATCAAAGACACAGACACAGTGAAGACAGGAAATGAAGACATAACAATAAAAGCTCTAATCTGCCTGGTATAGTTTAGAGCTTGTTTTATTTCCTTTAAAGTGAGTGTTTCCAGAGAAATGACACGACTACTGACTGGCTGAAATTCAGCTATTTCCAGGCAGCCTTCCAACAGCAGATGATACATAACATTTGTTGGACTTCACCTTTTTCTGGTGTTTGTGTGGTTTTACCAGAGAACTGAGACAAAGAACCATTTGAAAGTCACATGGAAAAGGGGTAAAAAAACACAATAGGGGGAGGAATAATAGATCTGCGTCCTCTCTGGCAGTAAAAAGCTGGCGGTAAGCACATGGTCAGTCTTATGAATGAGGTGAGTGTCGGGCAGCAAAGTTATGGACATCAATCTGTAAGCGCTTTAGCTCTCTACTTTGGCCACTTTGGGTGCCTGTCCATCCTGGTCTTCAGCGACCACCCCTCCCTTCCTCTTCCTTAGGCCCTTCATCTTACGCGTCTGCAGCTTGGACAGATCCTGCTTCTGCATGTGCACCCGGCCGAACTTGGTACCGAAGACATTGTGGGAAATGTTCTTCTTCTTCTTGGCCTGTAACGGTAAAAAAGACAGGCATTAACGACATGTCAGCTTGAGAGACTTACTTTTATTCTGATTTTTATTTATTTAGTTTTTGTTTTTTAAGACTCAGTAGATGCCTTTATATGGATTTTAATGTATGTGTCTCAATACATGTCTGGATGATATCTTTAATGATTTACTCAACAATACACCTGCATTTAAACACGGACAAACACAGTCAATTTGTACCACAGGCCCCACTTTCCCACTACTGACACCTCTGTTCCAGTGTCAGTGTGTCAGTTGTAGTTTTAAGTAGTTTAATAGTTAGTAAAACCATCTTATTCCACACAGTCTGACAGTATTTCCAGTATTTCACTGAAGCTACAGTATTTGATGAATATTTTTGATTAGGTTGAAAAGAGTTCCGTGTTGAGCTGACTGTCAAAATCAGGGTCAATTTCCTTCCATCCATCCCCCTCCCTCCGGCCCGCGGCATAATGTCAAAAACAAAATATAACCTGGGCCGCATGATTATTATTTTAGAATTCTTTTTTTTTCTAGTTGTTTCATATCATTCTAAACTAATACAATTAAAATAATGGCAAAGGGCACAGGTGCTTGCAAATACTTGCAAATGGTAATAATAAGAGAGCAGGTTTCAGAGCTTTTGATGACACAATAATGTATAGAAACTGTTGTTTCCAATACTTTGTTACGTATGAACTATAGGAATATTAAGCTTTCTTTTAGTACTTTAAAACTGAAGTGGACCCCCTATGAGATGACAATATCAGCAGTGGCCCCAAGCCAATTTGAGTGTGAGACCCCTGCTGTGAGGGGTTTGATTCTAATGTTAGCACTAACCTTGAAGCACCGATAAGTGGGTTGAAACTGCTTTTTAAGAGTAAAATTCAAGCACTTTCAAAGTGCCTAAACCAAAAACAGAAAAACACCCTGTTTTCATTCAACCTAGCTCTGCTCCACATCCGGTGTAACGAGCTAGTAGACAACAGGATCATTTCAGTTCAATATTAGAATTAGTTTTTTGTTTGCACAAGTGAATAAACAGATTGTGTTGAAAATTAAACATTTTATAAGGAGTGTATTTGAATTCAAGCATATTTCTAACCTTGAAAACATAACAATAAGCATTTCCCAAATGTTCAAGCCTTTGTACAAACTGTGAGTAGAGCTCAGGCTCGTAAAACTTAGGCCAAGTCTGACACTGGTGAGTTTAAGATGTTCTAAAATGGTCACTGTGCAGATGTTAGACCCCTTAAAATTTTAGGGAACAAAATGGTCTGTCCTCTGGCGCCGCCTTCAGGACAAATTGAAACAGATTTTTGTCATTCCACTGGTAGTCAGGCTCTTAAAGCAGTGTTATAAATAGTGATTTTTTAACCCTTCCAACAATTAGTTTTTTGTTTGGCCTCATGGGGCCAATAACATGATTATAAAAAACTTTTAATATTGTTTAAAACTAATAAAAATAATTGTTCATATGCACAGATTAAGTCAAGTCAACATTTTCCCAATACAAACCACCTCTCCTCTTACTGTTATTGCCACTATCCATCAAAGGAAAGCAGAGAGAGTCAGGAAAGATATGCAGGTGAATTTTACCTTCAGAGCCTTTGGCTGTCTGTGGGCTAACTTGTATAAGTCATCTGAAGCCAGATGTGTTCTTCTGAGGACTAAGTCGAATGATGGCCCGATCTCCTCGAGCTCTATCCGCGGCGTCCGGCACCCAGACTTCTTCAACAGAGACCTGCAGGGACACATAACATCAGTATCTCTGTGAGGGGGGTGTTAGCAGAGAAAAGTCAACAGTGACTTTAATTTCTTTTGAAAAGCACCCAAAAGAAAATCCAAATAAAAATTCACCAGAATGTATAATACATTTATTTTCCACCCAGAACACAACTTTGTTACGCTAACAAATTGAAATGCAGACTTGATGTTTCTACCCAGTTCTAATGCCTATACCTGTAGCTGCGCATGTAGATTTTCCCTTCCAGGGCAGTGAAGTGCAGGACATGTTCCAAACCTGCCAGACGCACTGCAGACACAGTGGGACCTCTGAAGAAGTCTGAAATGTGGGTCAAAGAAATGGACAAGGACTGATGTTAGTAGTAAAATAAAAATACACAGTTTCCATCTAAATGAAATCTAGAAACACAATCACTGAGAGTAAAGGTGTATACCTATGAGCAGACTCTTCAGGCGTTTGTGTTCATTGTCGGTATCAAAAGCCTCCCCTGCAAACACAAGCATTGGTTTGGTCCCTTCAGGACATTTGCTGGCCTGCAACAGAAAAAGAAAATAGATTTTAGGGTGGGGTATTAACAGTGTTCCCGAAATCACTGGAAGACACGGCGGAAGAAATATATCTCAAGAGTGGTATGTAAGTACAAAAATGGAGAGAAAAGGTAGACGGTTTTTCCTTTGAATTTTTCCCAGCATATCCTATACAATCACATATAGGTTTTTTTGTGTACAGATTAAACAAATGAGATCTGTGTTAATTTGTGAGCTTTAGAGATTTAATGGTTACATTTTAGAGCTTTGGAGAGAGCCAGGCTAGCGGTTTCCCTCTGCTTTCAGCCATTATGCTAAGCTAATCATGTATTAATTAATTTATTATTATTTATATATATTATTTTTATTTAATTTTAATTTATCTGTCCCGATAATTATCGTGCATCCCCAAGAAAAACACCTATTTCTGATTGAAATAAGCTGTATGCTGAGACAACTCAAAATAATTCAGCAATTAGTTATGTATACCAAACTGCAGGTAACCATAGCAACACAGATGCTCCATGCTACATGATGAGCCTGACCATAGGGTTAAACTGAACAAAAAATAAAAAGGGATGATAGTTTAAACATGGTATCAAAGCTGCAGTAGGTCATTTTTATAAAAATGTCTTTTTATCATATTTGCTGAAATGTTCACTGTATCCTGACAGTAGAACATGAGACAGATAATCTGTGAGAAAATCTTCAAACCACCAATCCAACCCATCTTTGCATCTTTCTCGGCTCCGATTGGTTGTTTTCGTTCAGGTCTGGTGCATTCTTGAAAAGTCCATTAGGAGTACTAGGAGGATCCAGAGGAACCTGATTGTTTCACAGATTATCTGTCTCATGTTCTACTTTCAGG